CGCCGGCCACACGCGCTCCGCTCTCTCTCTCGCTCACCCCCGCGCCGGGCGGCGGGCACTCGCTCCCCGCGCCCGCCCGGCCTTCATGCTCTGCGCCCGGGCAAACTGCTCGCCTGCTCCTCTACCTCCAAACTTCGGTTCTCGCCTAGCAAAAATGTGGAGATTAGGATTTTTTTAATTTAAAAAAAATTTTTTTTTAAATCTAGCTCCAAAGCTGTTAATTCCTGTTTCTTTTGGGATTTTTTTTGAACTTCAGAAATGCATTGGTTTATTCAAGAAACAGGTTTACTTCGCTCTTTTTTCCCCCTTATTAAGATCTACAAGACGTGTGCTAGTTTTCCGCAGACGCCCTGCGCGCACACACACACACACACACACACACACCACACACACACACACACACACACACACACACACACCCTCCAGTTTTAGCGAGACACGGGGGGAGGCGGGAGGGGGTTAAAGACAGAAACACAATATTTGTTTAGATCTCTAATTAGAGCACCCAAAATAAACACTTTTTTGCATATTCATTTTTAAGACTAAAATATCACTTTCAACTTGCTATTTCAACTCAAATCTACTAAGCTTTCCTTTGCAACATCCTCTTTTTCTATTCCAAAATGCTGTGAAACCTGTATGTCAACATTAAAAAGAAAAAAAAAAAAAACTTTAGTGACCACGATAAAGGTGAAGATCTAACTCACTCTCAAAACATTCAATTTGTACTGTCTTCTCTTTATGTAGGTATCTTTTACCACCACATTTGTGGGATTTTCATTACATAATCCTCATTTTTAAAGGGAGCTACCTAACCTTTTAACACTCTTTGGCCCAAGTATAATTACTACTCATCTTTAATCTCAAATTGCTGAGGCTTTTCCATAAACTACCTAGCACCCAGAGCATTTAAATAAATGTTAATCACGTTAGCACAGAGTGGGAGTGGGTGCCTACATTTATTTTTCCTGTAAATGCCCATGAAAATACAGTGGGAGTTTTGCTGTTGTCTTTTATTTTAAATAAACATCAAGGATAGGTAAAAAGATCACTGTACAAGGGCGTGATTCAGATTTTTAAAAAACACATAGCTAAGCTCCAGAAATGCTCTAAAATTATTTTAAATTAGTTTGTATTGCATACAGCAATGGGTTCCTACTGAAAAACAGAATGCTCAAACCCGTGTCCTCCAGATACTTGGTGAATTCTAAATAAAATTATCCCTAAATTTTCATTTTTAAGTGAAATTATTGTTTAGTTTCTATATTTCCTTAGCATTAAAAAACTTAACAGTGAGCATTGTTTGCTCACATAAGGATACTGTAATTATACTTCACCCAACAATAGGCAAGTAAAAAATAAGTATGTCAAGGTTGGCATACAATGTTGTCATATTCAAGATAGAAGATCTCTTTTAAAAAGAAACCATAGTAACTGCCACTCTGTCATTCATAATGTATGCCTTGCATTTAAAATGTGCCTTAAAAGACATTCAGTGATTTAGTATCACATAGTATCATCAAGGTGTTTTCTCAGGAGACAGACTTCAAATTTAGCCAAGGCCTTCCTGGAACAACAGTCTTTGCGTAAATTAGCATATTTCTCTAAATGTGACAGTTGGAGCAACCACTTTTCTAATCGGCTTGGGAAAATTTTAACCATGAAGTGCCATTGGATTGGCTGGAATTTAATTATAATACCCATTTCGAAGAATTACATTTCAAGAGACCATGGATTATTCATTGCAATTAGGGCCCACCAAGCAAGTTTTACAGCTGTTGCTCCACAGCTCCTATGAAATATTAATGGATTTCAGAAAGATATCCTCCCAAGTCAGCCAAAATCCCAAAGAAGCATGAAATCTGACTTTAAAAAATGACCTGACAAAATTAAATTTATATGTTCATAAAGAGTATAGGGCATTGCAGGTTTTTAAAATAATGCCCAAATACAAGGGCACTGAAACTTATTGAGGGCCTGCTAAGTGCCTCCAGGCATTGTGCTAGATATTTACATACAGTATCACATAAACCTTCACTCAAACCTGTAGAATAATGTTCAGTTATCCTGATTTTTCAGATGAGGCTCCCAATAGATCCACTGATTTACTTGGTCTCATCAGTCTAATAAGGGCTGGTGGGGAAACCCAGGTCTGGCTAACTCCAAAACTCACCTCTGTCAGGCCTAAAAAGAGTTTTAGGAACAAGCAGTCCTTGCTGTTTCAATGTAAACATTAGAGTTTAGTGTATGACACAGGTAGAGAGGAAACCTTTGTTTAGTGAAAACCTACTTTAACAGTGCCAGTTGCCAAATGTAGTTTTAAATTTTGGAAGGGAGTTGCAAAATACTAGGACAGCAGTGGGGTCTGGCGGAAGCTCAGATTCACCAGACATCACCAAAATGAAAATCATTCAACGATACGGCAAAGTAAAAACAACTTCTTAATTTTCCCCCATGTGATTAAAAAACTTAACATTTTAAAATAAGGGATATGCCTTTGTACATAAAATTTAAAATCGTACAGGACTTTGGCATCTGAATATAAGATGTTAGGAAACTTAAGAGGAAAGCTCTTAGAATGGCTTTCCTAGATGCAAATAACTTTAATTGTATCACCTACAATTTACTTATCTGCAGTTAAAAGGTCACTCCTATGATTCCCATCAAGTGTACCGCTTACAAAGAAGAGCAACTGGGCACAGGAAAAAAAAAAGAGGATGTAATTAAAACCGAAATGTTCCAGCATGTGTTTGGACCTCTGCATAAATAGGTCCAATGTCCAAATAACAATTAAAAGTGAAAGTGTTAGTTGTTTCCTGTGTGCACATGCCGCCAAACGTTCCCCTTGGTTAGCTGGCCAGTCTCAGAAGGGGAGAATGCAAATGATGAAGACTAAGTGGTGATATGCATGACCAGATGTGTCCAGATCACCAAAATACACCAGATAAGTTAGTAAGAACTCTACATAATAGTTGTAAAATAAAATTTATTATAAATCCTCAATGTGCAAAAATTAGGTGTGTACTTTTATTTGTACCTCTAGCAATATTTATAGTCTTAGGGTTAAGTGCATTGGCTCTGTACCCAGACTGACTGGGTTCACATTCCATCTTTGTCATTCACTAGGTGTGTGGCTTTGGGTGAGTCACTTCACCCCTCAGAGCCTCAACTCCCTCCTCTATAAAACAGGGATAATTATAGTACCCACATCTGAGGGTTATTTAAGGATCCAGGAACTAGAACATGTAAAATGTTTAACATAGTGCCTAAAACATGAGGGTTCAACACATTTATCTAATATAATATTGCTTTATTTTAGTAATCTACGTATCAGGTTGAACCATGTAAAATTCTCCCATGTGAATTCCAGATAGCAGTCTCATAAGATTCGATTTAATATATCTCTCATGTTCCTTACTGGATAGGGAGCTCTTCAAAGACACCAAGTAATCTTCCCCATCTTTATATTCTCTAAGGGCCTAGCCAGAATCGACTGGCCGGCAATGGGAAGGGTCTAGCAGAGTACTTTGTAGTTAGCTCACAGTCAATACTTGGGAATAAAAGAAAAACAGCCCAGTCCACAAAACCGATAAAAATATAGAAGATACAAGTAAATTTCTATCTGGAGACCCATATAGATGGCAGGCAGTACAGCCTAGTGGTTTAGAGTTCTCTCTCTCTCTCTCTCTCTCTGTCCCTCTCTCTGGTCAGTTTAGATCTGAATCATTGCCACTTTTTAGCTATGTGATCTTGGCCTACTTTTTTCACTTCTTTAACCTCAGTTTTCTTATCTGTAAAATGGAGATAACAATACCCATATCTCAGAGGTTGGTGTGGGGGGGGGAGAATTAAATGAGATTAGATATATAAAGCCCCTGATTTAGTGTCTGGAATATAGTAAATATTCAATAATAGTTACCATTATTGTTGTGGTTTTTGTTATTATAATTGGAAGTAATGTGGAACCATTTTCAAAGCAACAGTAAACAAGCAATCTATTGGAATGATTTCAGATGTTTTCAATACCTTGCCTACATTATTATTATTTTATATAAATATAAACACTTTAAATTATCTTAGTAGAGACTAAGGCTATTCTAGTCATAACATATTTCAAGCTGGCTATTTTCCCTGACAGACTTTTAAAAAATTCTGAACTCATACAAGCTTCCAATACAAGGATAAGTAGTTAATATATGGCAGAGCTGTTTAAAAAAAAAAAAAAAAGGCATCCAGCACTCCTACTGGCCTTCTTGTCTTACATATCTAGCCTGTTTCCTCACAGAGTCTGTGAGGGGGAGGACAGCCATTAGGTTAGGAGGGCACCACACGCTGCTGGAAGGCACGGCTGGGATGTGCCACTCACTAGTTCCTTGGCCCCTCTGGTGTTCTGCCAGAACACCTAACCTCCCCTAAACAGC